TAAAACACTACCCCAAATCTGAAAAGGTATTGAAAACGCAAATAAAATAAATAATAAATTTACTTTGACTTGCATTTCATTTCAGACAGTACAACAAACATTCTTTCATGTGTTCCCCGAGATTTTGATTTTTGGTTCTTGCAACACATTTCAATTAAAGTAGCATCAGTAAAGCATTTAGCACTTTGTGATGTTGTCGTTCCTTTTCACAACACTTAAACGATGTTTAGGGACTGAAGACAGCAAGTGATGAAGTGTTCTTTAGGTCCCATTCTTCCTGCAAACAAGTCTTCAGGTGGCAAACGCTACAGGGTCTTCATTGGCGCTTTAAAATGCATCACACATTCTCTATTGGAGACAGGTCGGGACTGCAGGCAGGCCAGTCCAGTACCTGTGTCCTCTTCCTCTGCAGCAGGACTCTATAATGTGTGCAGAATGTGCTTTTGCATTGTCTTGGTCAAATATGACCGTACGGTACTGTACCACTAGAAACGGGCCATAATATATTCTTCTCCTGGTTTTTAAATCACTGAATGGCCTGGCTCCTACCTGTTAGACCTGTTGACTGAACATCAGCCTGGTCGGTCTCATCAGTCATCTAACCAGAGACTATTATGGCCCGTTTTCACTGAGTGGTACAGTACGGTTCAGTTTGGTACGCTTTTATGGCCGTTTCCACTGTCCAAAAGCGTAACGAACCAAACCGTAGCACTTTTTCGACAGCCTTTCGAAAGGGTACCAAACAGGAGAAAGGGTGTGAAAAGGTGGAGCTACACGTGCAGCTGAACACTGATTGGCTACAGAGATACATCACGAGCCCGTGGAGCTACACAGAACGTAAACAATGGAACCGCCATGTTTTTTTTTAAATACAAAGCAGAGACATTACATGAAAATACTATATGAATAAAATAATGGGATGATCCACGCTCAAACAAACCTTGTCGTCGTCTTGATGAACAAACACAGCCAAGAAGAAGTATCTGCCGTGTGCTGTTGTTTTTTTACGAGCCCGTCTAAAAGTGCGAGCGGTATTCGCTTTCTTCCGGGAGCTCGCGCTCGCTTCTATATTTGATATAACAAACTTCTTGAGCTGATGATAATAACGTGAGTGTGATTATTGAAGTGTCTCCGTCATCTGATCCATTCAGAAAAAAAGGACAAGCGCGAGAGTGAAGCGGGAGTGAAACACGGAAAAAGAGACGCCGTCAAAACACAGGAGCAAAAGTGTTTTAGCAACCCGAATCATGAACAAACCGCCATGATTATCTTCACCTTTTGGATTATTATGAACTGGGAATGACAGAATGACTCTCTAACAGAGTTTACATGTGCTGCTGAAGATTATAGACACACATGAGAGGTTTGCGCTGACTGTGGGCTATATTGAGTGTGTTTTTAACTTCAAATAGGGACTAAATGTCTGCTGTGAGTAGTTTTTCTGTAATTAATATTATATCGGAGACTGTAAGGGGCTGTATGTGTTCATATATGTTGCATTTATGTATTTATTTAATATAATTACAGACGTTACAGTAGCCTATTCACACTGGTCATTGGTCTGCATAATCAAATCATGTTCATAGAAATGTTAGTAATAAACATTTATATACTATAAAATAAAAGTATTTGTGTGTATAAAGCATCTGTTTTGTGAGAAGTGCTGCTCATTATGATATGTAAATAACCCGTACAGCTTTACTCTAGACATTTATCCGAGCGAGCATGACGTCGACTTAAACTTAATGTCATACACCACACCCACCAAAAAGGGTACCCTTTGTGGTGGAAACACAAGCCTGATAAAGGTGACCTGTACTGACCCGAACCGTACCGTACTGTACCAGTCAGTGGAAACGAGGCATTATAAATTCCAAAGTTGAGGCTGAATGGCAGGGGCGACCGGGCTTTCGCAGTAGCTGGTCCTACCTTGTGGAATGCTCTGCCCCTCTGTATTAGGTCCGTATCATCTCTGTCTGTTTTTAAATGTAGGTTGAAAACTTTCCTTTTTGATTTGGCATTTTATCAGTGAGAATTGTTTGTTTTTAGCTCTAATTTTGTACGTTTTCTTTGTGATTTGTGTTGTTCAGCACATTGGTCATTGTGTATAATAGTGCTATATAAATAAAATTGACATTGACGTTTTTCTGAAATCTGTTGCAAGAAGCAAAATTGTAATACGTGTTTATTTAAAAAAGCAAAACAATAGAAATCTTTAGGAACAGATTAAGCAATGTTAGTTGTTTGTTAATGTTTCAGTCAAAGTAAATTTAGAAACAACTACTGTCTTATTTATTTTCGTCTTCCATACGGTTGCAACCTTTTCTGATTTGAGGTTGTAGACGTAAATTAAAAACAATTAAAAAAACAGACTAAGGGTCTGTGTGTGTGTGTGTGTGTGTGTGTGTGTGTGTGTGTGTGTGTGTGTGTGTGTGAGACCTCTCTGGCGATGGTGGTGATGAAGGCTGGCGGTCGGGCCGTGGCAATCAGTGAGAGAGCGTGAC